ACGAAACGAGCATCGAACGGAAAAGATCGACGCCAAGAACGTGAGCAATCAAAAGTCGTTAGGCTGTTCGGAATACATGAATAAAGAGAGGAGTGGTAAACACGAGGAAATGAAATCAGAGCGCACGAATGGTGCGAAAGGCTCGAGATGACGAGTGACATGTCAAGAAATGACGATAAAAAGGTCTTTGTGTTGGACCAACCGGTCATAGAGAAGTGCGGCGTGATCTAAAACGAGTGTTATAATGATGAGTCGGCACTGGAGATTCGGTAACAAATTGTTCTGTACTTACCTGATGAGAGTAACCAGGCATAGTTAATTCCGTAGCTCCGGCGGCAGACAGTGCCGCCTGTTCTTCGACTGGTGTCCATTGCGAGGTGAACACAGGACCAGAGAGCTCGTAGCAGCGCTTGACCTGGTTCATGTGCACTCGTCGGGGTGACGATTGCGGGGCCGAAACGCTGACGATGGTAAGATGAGGGGGGTCGACTTCCACAACACGGAACTGCCCCAGCCAAGGATTGCAGAGCTTGGATGATAGCCCTACCTTCGGAGCCAGGTCGCGCAAGAAAACGCGATCGCCGACGCGAATATCTAGGGGCCGAAGGTGAGTACGATCATGCTGCTGCTTATACTTCGCCCGCTGGCGATCGTTGAAGTCTTTGGCGGAGCGCCAGGCGGCGTGAAGAGTGGCTACCAAGTTTTCGACGTAGAGCCCGGCGTCGTCCAAAGAGGGGGTGTGACACTCCAAATCATGCTTGATAAGCAGGTCAATATTGAATACAGGGTCCCTGCCAAACATTAGAAAATACGGAGTGTTATTAGTGCTGGTATGAACTGAGGTATTGTACATGAATGCGCAAGCTTTAACGTACCTGTCCCAGTCGAGTTGATTGTCAGCGATATAGGTGCGGAGCATCGGATGAAAGGTGGCGAACACTCGTTCGCATGCTCCGTTGCCTTCGTGGTGATACGGTGTCGTGAAATAGCGGCTGATGCGCAGCAAACGTCCGACCTCAGAAAGGACTTCTCCCTTGAAATAAGAAGCATTATCAGATACTAGCTGCGTCATTACACCATAAACCAGGATACAATCCGACATTATCGCGTGAGCTACAGTAATCGCGGTGCAATCTGGCAGAGGAGTGGCGATAACATACTTCGAAAAGTGATCAATCATAGCTAAGATATATTTGTTACCGTTCTCGGAAGTATGGAGTGGTCCCGTCAAATCGACGTACACCTTATCGAAGATAGCGCCGCTCGTGACAGGAGCCAAGAGTTCGCGGTTAGCTTGCTGGTTTCGCTTACGTTGGCATTGTTCACATGAGCGAACCAGAGCAAAGATGTCCTCCGCCATGTGAGGCCAGAAATACTTACGTGATATCTTGGCCAGTGTCTTGCGCCAATTAAAATGGCCGCCAGCTGACGGACTTGAATGAAGCGCCAAAAAGACAGGTTCTTCGAGCTTCTCCGGAACAACAAGTCGCTCGCGACGTACTCCGGACTGGTACGGTCTTGGATCTCTATAATATAAACAACCGTTTTTCTGAACCACACAATGCTCCGCGATGGAGAGCAAGAAGGGCCGTTGTTCGTCGGGAACTGAGGTCGGAAACCGCTGAGTCTCTATAAAGGTGGCGATCGATGAGCAAAAGTCATCTTGCTTCTGCTCCAGGAGGGCGTCATATGGACGAATGGCACGGAATTGACCGAGGCAAAGGACGGACGGACGAACCGAGTAGGAAACCTGACGGAGAACGTTAATACTTACCGGGAACTCCACGATATCGTCTGTCTCGGGGGTATTGTCCTCGAATCGAACCCTCTTGTCAACGACTCGGGATAAGGCGTCTGCTACTACATTTGAAGAACCCTTGAGATATTCTATGGTGACATTGTAGCTCTGGAGTTCAATTACCCAACGAGCTAAATTGTCGTGGGTCTTATTGTGCTTCAGCAGGTACGTTAAAGGTCTATGATCTGAGAAGACGGTCGTATGATTACCGTATATGACGGGGCGGAAGAACCGTAGAGCGCTGATTATGGCGAATAGCTCAATATGGGTCGGGCTCCACTTACGTTGCGAGTCAGACAGAGCTTTACTGAAGTATCCCACAGCTGCTAGCTGCGTCGGGGA